GTAGCTGTATCCAAACCATGACTCCACACGCCCGTTCCAGTGGCTGACGCCGAGGGCTGCATGTCAATCACGAAGAAGGATGTGGGGCCCTGTGGAGCGAGTGAAGGGCTGCCGCCACAGAACCTTCTGGGAAAGGGACACGTTAGGGAAACCAGCACATCGCCGGCCATCAGGAGGAGCACCCAGCCCGGCCGTGAGAACCAAGTGCACCTGCTCCAATGGCCCAGGCCACGAAGAAAACAAGGCCCTTGCGTGCTGGCAGGGATGCCAGCAGCCGGACTCTCGGAGCCTGCTGGACAACCGCAAGACGGCCTGGCCATCAGGAGGCCGCGTGGCAGTGTCTGTGAAGCTCAGCACGCAGCGGCGTAGACCCAGCCCCCATGCACGGGTATTTAGTCTAGAGAAATGAGAACTTATGACCGTGCCAAAACCCGTGCACAGTGCTGTTTGTGCAAGCTGGCATGCAACACCACAAGCCGGAGTCCAGCACTGAGTGTGGACCGTGGTGTGCCCAGCCACACAGAGTTCCTCTCTGAGCAGTGACAGCCTTGGCGGACACGGGCGCCATCTTGGCGGATTCCCGAGTGTCTGCTGAGCACAGAGCTGGCCGAGAAGGTGCAGTGAGACCACGCCACGCTGTGCCCGGCGGACGCCCGGCGGACGCCCGGCGGTGTACACAGCGCGGTAGTGTGGGTGCGGAGGGTGTGTGCGCAGGCCCTTTGGGGAGGTGGGTTCAGGTGGCCGTGGCGGTGCATTCAGGACTGTGTGCTGTCAGCTCTCAGCTGCGGCACAGTGGTGTGGGGAGCTGGGGTCCGGGCGCAGGTTCTGTGTCACCAGCCAGGACCGCGTGGCGCTCTCCCCGCGTTGGGGTTGCCTTCCTCTGGCTGTGTCCTGTGCGGGGGCTGTGTGCGCTCCACAGCTCTTGTGGCCGTGAGATCTGGACGCTGTTACCTCCCTCGCTCTGGGCGGGCCGGGGGCTGGGGGGCCGGTGGCCGTGGACCGGGGCCAGGGACCCCGGGGATTCCAGTATTTCCCACCGACAGTGGAGCTTTCCGGGACTTCGTGTACTGCAGATCCCAGCCTGCAACGTGAAAGTTGGGTGTCCATCTCTTTCTGGAGCCTGGAGGGCTTTCTTTCTGTGCCGGGCCTCGGATGGCAGAGGTGCTGTCATTTTCACGTCTCTGGGGTCCTCTGTGTGACTGAGACCCTCATGCTCCCCACCCTCCATACAAACCCACTGAAAAGCTGCCCTCTAGAAGAATCAGCCTCCTCCTTGGAGTTCTCCTTCATCTTCACCTCCGGCAATCGGTTCTGGGCTTGACAACTTGTGTCTGGGGCGTCTGCTCCTCCGTCCTTCTGCCTCCTCCCTGGCCCGTCCGCCCCGGCTGCGGCGCACTGCTCTGTGTGGCTCAGGCGCAGGATGGGAACTCCCGGCCTCTCCCCTCCTGGCCCAGCAGGTCTTGGTAGCAGAGCAAAGTCATCCTGCACCGGCCGTGGCCCAGCACACAAAGGCTTGTCTGCGCGGCCTTGCCCTCCGCATGTGTTTGTGCTGTGCCGGCAGAACAGGGCCTTGTGTAAATACACCAGAATTAATGAGGACCCAGAAGCCAGCGCAAAACAGCAACAAGGAAGGGCCACCAACAAGGAAGGGCCGACGCCCGGAGTGCCCGGCTGAAAACACCTGGCCTGTATAAAAGCCCAGGAGCCCAAGCACCTCACACTCACTCACACTCACACTACTCACACCTCCCGCTCCTCCCAGCCCCGCCGCCATGGCCGCCTCCACCATGTCCGTCTGCTCCGACGCCTGCACCCACGCCTCCTGGCAGGTGGACGACTGCCCAGAGAGCTGCTGCGAGCCCTGCGGCGCCCCCAGCTGCTGCCAGCCCCGCGGCTGCGCCCCCGCCCCCTGCCTCACCTTCCTCTGCTCCCCAGCGGGCTGTGCGTCCAGCCCCTGCTGCCAGTCCGTCTGCGCCAGCTGCTGCACACCCTCCTGCTGCCAGCCGTCTAGCTGCCAGCCCTGCTGCTGCCCCTGCTCAGCCTGCCAGCCGTCCTGCTGCATGCCTGTCTGCTGTAAGCCCGTGTGCTGCAGGCCAGTGTGCTGTGAGCCTGTGTGCTGCACACCCGTGTGCTGCAGATCCATGTGCTGTGAGCCCGTGTGCTGCGGGGCTTCCTCCTGCTGCTGCCAGCCGTCCAGCTGCCAGCCCTGCTGCCGCCCCTGCCCGCCCTGCGCGCCGTCCTCCAGCATGTCCCTGCTGTGCAGGCCCGTGTGCAGGCCTGCCTGCTGCATGCCCACCTCCTCCTGCTGTGCCCCCTGCTGCCAGCCGGGCTGCTGCCGCCCGGCGGCCTCGTGCGTGTCCCTGCTGTGCCGCCCTGCCTGCTCCCGCCAGGCCTGCTGTGGCGGCTCCCTGGGCCAGTGTAGCTGTTGATGGATGCGGCCCGGGGCTTTGGGTTCAGATCCCTCCTCCAAGGCCCCCTTGATCTACTCCTGACCTGGATTAAGGGCCCTGTCCTTCACCCCTAGGGTGGCCCTCCCTTGTCCACTGTGCTGACTCTATCTCTCTGTCCTTCTCCCCTCCTGTGTCCCCTGCCTCTCCACTCCTCCACTCTGCAGTTCTTGCCCTGGCTTCCACCGGTCAGCCTCTCCTGTACTTCAATAAACTCACTGAGTTCATCCTCTGTCTGTCGTGCTGTGAATCTCGGGGTGAGAGCCAATGTCAGGCTGCTGCACACAGTGAGCAGTGAGTGATCTGACTTGGACTAGAGGCCGTGGGGGCAGGGCAGGGGGGCTCCCTGGGCAGGCTGGTCGGCAGGGGACCTGTGGGCAGACTGCAGAGGGCCTGGTGTGTGGGGTCTATCTGGTGTTTGAGTCTTCTGTTGGTTGAGGTGCTGCCACCCCAGCCCCCGCCCCGCCCGTGTGTCGCTTTTCCTGGCCTTTACTGGACGGATTTCCACCTCGGTCCCTTTTGGGTTCCAGGCATTCGCTTGTGCCAGCTTGTGCCAGCAGAAGTGCCTGCTCCTGGCAGGTAGGCCTGGTGGGCCCCCGACATGGAGGCTGAAGTCTCCCATGTCCCCAGAATGACCAGAAGTAAGGACAAGTGGTCATCTGCAAAGTGAACACTAAATGAAATTTTGTCACAGGAGGGTTTTGCCCTCTTCAGACACACCGGTGCATCACAGACGGACAAAGACTGGCTGTTTCCATGTTCACATACACTCTACCCTACCCTCGTATCGGATTTACCTCTACAGTGTAATCACTTTCCTCTCCCCCCTCCTCCTCATCCTCTCTTCCTCCTCCTCCTCCTCTTCTTTCTGCTCTTTCTTCCTGCATCCTAGGGGTGTGTGAACTCAGAACTTAGTACTGTACTCACTTAGCTTGCTTGCTCCAATTAGCACTCTACCGTGTAAATCATGCCTCCAGGCAGCCTTCTGCTGATTATTTTGGAGATGGACTCTCGCAGATTTTTCTGCCCAGGCTGGCTTCCATTCTCCAGAGCTCAGCTTCTGAGCAGCTGGGATTTCAGGCAGGAGCCATACTGGAGCCTGGCTTCACTTTCCTATCTTTTCTTCCGTGGTGACGGATGAAGCATGCACCGGATCTCAGCTGCAGTCAGTATAAGCCAGTGTCGATCAGCCTTTGAGAAGAACACAATTGGGAGGTCACACTCCCGGCAGGCAATTTCATCGCTTGTTCCCAGAACATTCCATCTAGCAAAACTGACCTCCATAAGTTCTAATTCCCGGTTCCGACCCCAGCTCCTCCTGGGCTTACCGCACTTGCATAATGTCTTTAGGATCCACTCCTGACGTAGCAGACCAGAACGACCTTTCAAAGGCTGAGTGCTATTCCAGGGCAGGAACACCGGCTCACCGCTTGCTGGTGGGCACAGGTGGGCCTCTGCCCTGGGTGAGTGGCGCCGTGGGTACCAACCCCTGGGCCGCTCCAGCCGCGTCTCCCGCGCTCCGTTGCCGAGGAGCCCCAGGCTCACGCATCCTCCCCGGCAGTGTGCCAGGGTCTGGGGTCTCGGCCGTGCAGGCCCTGGCCCCCGCCTGGCCCCCGCCGAGGGCTGGGGTGCCTTGGGTTGTGCCCCTGCCCGAGGGAGGGAGGTCGGGCCGGGTCCTCCCGGGGCTGCCCAGCACCGCCTCCGCCCGGTCCCCGGCCCCTCCACACACCCACCCAGCAGCCCCGGCTCTCCAGGCCCCGGCCCGCCTCGCCTCAGTCCCCCCGGCTCTCGCCTCAGTCCCCCGGCTCTCGCCTCAGTCCCCCCGGCTCTCCAGGCCCCCCACGCCTCAGTCCCCCCGGCTCTCCAGGCCCCCCTCGCCTAAGTCCCCCCGGCTCTCCAGGCCCCCCTCGCCTCAGTCCCCCCCCCCCCGGCTCTCCAGGCCCCCCTCGCCTCAGTCCCCCCCTCTCCAGGCCCCCCTCGCCTCAGTCCCCCCGCCTTGCCCTCCCTCCCCCACGCCCGCCCTTCCTCCTGCTATTTCTGTCCCCTTATTAGTTCCGCCCCATCCTTACTCCTACCCCCTCCCCGGCATCAGCCCCCACTCCCGTCAGTCCCATCCCTGCTTCTACGTCCTGCAGCGCGCCCTCATTAGCCCCCCCGGCCCAGCCGCGTTCTCGTTCCCCCCTTCTTCCCCATTGGCCATGCCGGCCTCGCCCATTCAGCCCACCTTCCCTTCCCATTGGCCAGACCTGTCTCCCATTGGCCTCATCCTCCTCTCCCACTGGCCAGGCCTTCCTCTGTCATTGGCTTCGCCCTCCTCTCCCATTGTCCAGGCCCACCCCTTCCATTGGCCAGGCCCGCCTCTCCCGTTGGCCCCACCCTCCTCTCCCACTGGCCAGGCCCGCCTTTCCCACTGGCCAGCCCTCCCGTTGGCCCGCCCTTCCATTGGCCAGGCCCGCCTCTCCCGTTGGCCCCACCCTCCTCTCCCACTGGCCAGGCCCGCCCCTCCCGTTGGCCCGCCCTTCCGGCCCCGCCCCTCACGCCTGCTCTCTGCAGAAGAACGAGTACCTGCTGTCCGTGGTGGCGGAGGAGCGGGACGCGCTGCTGCTCGGGCTGCGGTTCTCATCCACCCAGCTGCACTTCCTGTTCCTCAGCGAGGACGCGGCCGGCGCCTGGCAGACCCGCGTGTCCTTCCGCAGTCCCGGCCTCGCGGACAGCCGCTGGCACACCCTGGTCCTGGCCGTGTCCCAGGGGTCCTTCTCCCTCTCCACGGACTGCGGCCTCCCGGTGGACGTGTAGGTACTGGGGCGCGGGACCCGCCCTCCCCGCCTGCCCTCCTCATCCTCCCCGCCCTCCCCGCCCGTCCTCCCCGCCCTCTCCGACCTCCCCACCCGTCCTCCCTGCCCTCCTCATCCTCCCCGCCCTCCCTGCCCGCCCTCCCCGACCTCCCCGCCAGCCCTCCCCGCCTGCCCTCCTCATCCTCCCCGCCCTCCCCGCCCGTCCTCCCCACCCTCTCCGACCTCCCCACCCGTCCTCCCTGCCCTCCTCGTCTTCCCCACCCTCCTCATCCTCCCTCCTCGTCCTCCCCGCCCTCTCCGACCTCCCCGCCCGTCCTCCCTGCCCTCCTCATCCTCTCCGACCTCCCCGCCAGCCCTCCCCGCCTGCCCTCCTCATCCTCCCCGCCCTCCCTGCCCGCCCTCCCCGCCCTCCCCGCCAGCCCTCCCCGCCCTCCCCGCCCTCCCCGCCAGCCCTCCCCGCCCTCTCCGACCTCCCCGCCCGTCCTCCCCACCCTCCCTGCCCTGGTCTGCCCTCACCTGTCCTCCCCTGCCTCCCCAGCCCACCCTCAGCTGTGCGTGCCCTGGGGCCCCAGATGGCCCAGGCTGTGGCGGGGCCTTAGAAGTTGCCCTGGAGGAGTCAGCTGAGGTCCCTTGGGGAGGACAGGCACCACCCTGGGTGGGGACAGGACGGGACAGGCCTGGGAGAAGGGGCGGGCCCTGCAGAGAAGGGCCCGGTGTCCTGGAGGAGCAGGCCCAGGCCGAGTGTTCAGTGCACTGCATGGGGCAGGCTGGCACTCCCCTACCCTACTCCTCCCTCCCCAGTGTCACCCCTCCCTCCCCAGTGTCACCCTGCCCTCCCTCCCCAGTGTCACCCTGTCCTCCCTCCCCAGTGTCACCTCTCCCTCCCCAGTGTCACCTCTCCCTCCCCAGTGTCACCCTGCCCTCCCTCCCCAGTGTCACCCCTCCCTCCCCAGTGTCACCCCTCCCTCCCAGTGTCACCTCTGCAGAGACCGCAGTGTCAGGCCAGTGAGGCCAGCTGGAGCAGCTGTCCAGCTGCACCTCTGCAGGCCACACAGAGCTGGTGAAGCACCCCCGCGTGCCTGGCAGGCCCATGAGGGCCGGGCCTGGCCTGGTGGCTGCCTCTGCAGGCCACACAGAGCTGGTGATGTGAAAAGCCCCAGGGGCCCTGTGCACACCAGGACCTCGGGCCTGCGTTTGCTCCTGGGCCTGGCCTTTGCCTCGTTGGTATGGTCTGCCCTAAGCCAGCTGGCCTGGCCTCGGTGAGTCCTGCAGTCCAGCCCGCTGACCACTATGATGACTCTGTTTGTAGTGAAGCTGCCATTATCCGAAGCCATTACTCGCAGAGGTGCCTGCTTCCTGTTTTGTAACCAAGAAGCCTACTTGGCAACAAAGGGACCCTTGGTCTTTATGCAAGCTGAGCTCTGTTCGGTTTGGATGGTACTGGGGTTTGAACTCGAGGCCTTCTGCTGGTTGTGCGGCTGGAGCCACACCCACGGCCCTGTCCACTCTATTTTTCAGATGGGTGTTTTGCCCATGGCCAGTCAGGACCTTGATCTTCCTGCCTGTGCCACCCACAGCCAGGCCTACAGACACACACCGCACACCTGGACCTCGTGCGTCTCTATCACAGCGGCTCTCCCGCCTCCCCCCCAAAATTCATGAGGTGCCCTAAAGTTCAAGCACCAAGAGAAGGGGAGCCCCACTGCTGGCTGCTCTGGGCGGGCAGAACCCCAAGAGAAAGCTGCAGGCCAGAAGGGCTCTGAGCCAGCACAGAAGCCGGTGTGACTGGGCTGCGTGGTCACCGGACTCCTGGGCATGTCCCAGCACAGGTGACGAGGGGCCGTGGCACCGACACCTGCAGATCATCCACCTGACCTGCAACAGAATGACCAGGAAGTGTCTCTCGGGTTTTCAAAATGGACACCTAGAGTGAGTGGAGGAAGTGCAGCCTCCAGCAGGAAGTGCGCAGCCTCCAGCAGGAAGAGGGGCTGGCAGTGGGGAGGAAGTGCAGCCTCCAGCAGGAAGTGCACAGCCTCCAGCAGGAAGTGTGCAGCTTCCTGGAGGAAGAGCAGGCTGGCAGTGTAGAGGAAGCGGGCAGCCTCCAGGAGGAAGTGTGCAGCTTCCTGTAGGAAGTACGCAGACTCCTGGAGGAAGAGCGGGCTGGCGGCTGTGGAGGAAGTGTGCAGCTTCCTGGAGGAAGTGCACAGCCTCCTGGAGGAAGAGGGGCTGGCGGCTGTGGAGGAAGTGGGCAGCTTCCTGGAGGAAGAGGAGCTGGCAGTGTGGAGGAAGAGCAGCCTCCTGGAGGAAGAGCGGGCTGGCCGCTGTGGACTGAGCTGGGAGCCCCTGGCCCAGGCCGGTCAGGGCAGCTGTCTCACGCTCAGCCATTCGGCGAGGGCCGTGCTGTGTCCCATGGGATTAAGCTTTGTGGACAGCGGGACGGAGCGGGCCTCCATGGCAGCTGCAGTCTGACGGCCAGGGGGGCGGGGGGGGGGTGCTTGAGGAGAGGGTAGCACTGTGAGCAGGACGGGGTCAGGGCACCCCAGAGCTCCTCCTGGGGCCTCTGGCTGCAGCGTCCCTTGGCCGTGGTGTCCCGTGACCGGCCTCACCCGCAGCTCTCCAGACTTCAGCCACGCTCACATCCACACCAGCGCTTCCCATCGCCCTGGGGGCTCCAGGGCTCCTTTCTCCTGCTCCAGTCACTGCACACAGTGCTCAGTGGAGGCCGGGAGGGGGGCGGGGAGGAAGAGCCACTAAGCATCTCTTTGCCAAGTGAAGACTCCTGTCCTGGGGGAAAGTGTCCCCACGTCATGCCCTTCCTGCATCACCCCTCCCCCACATCCCCCCTCCCCACGTCACGAGCCCCGGTACCTGTGAACCCGATCTTACTTGGGAGCAGGTGTTGAACTGAGTCAGGATGATATTTACAGAGCAGGGCAGCTCCTCCTGGGGAGCTGAGGCCCAGAGGAGGCTGGAGGAGGAGGCTGGGAGAGGGTGCGGCCCGAGCTCTCCCAGCGGCCCGGGCCTCAGACAGACTGCTGCCTGCGGTGTAAGTGACGGGCCTGAGCCTGTCGCGGTGGCCGGGCGTGAGCACGGTGCTCACACAGACCGCTGCCTGCGGTGTAAGTGCCGGGCCTGAGCCTGTCGCGGTGGCCGGGCGTGAGCACCGTGCTCGCCGGGCTTTTGTAATCACAGCAGGGCGCAGCCTTGCTCCTGTAACTCAACTGTCCACTGCTGTTTTCAGAGTGGCCGACGTGTCCTTCCCTGACACACTCTCCGTGGGAGGAGCCCGGTTCTTCATCGGCAGCAGGAGGAGAACCAAAGGCTTGTTCACAGTACGTGCGGCTCCCCCCACCCCCGGGGCTCCGGGCTGCTGCCCCTGACACGCAAACATTGTCCTTCCCAGACGGCAGAGGTCACAAGGGTCACAAGGTCACAAAGGAACAGATGGATGGCGAATGCATGGTGGGTGGCAGGGCGGAACCACTGGCTGGGCGCTGAGTGGATGGATGGATGGAGGACGGAGGAATGGCTAGAGGGGTAGATGCACAGGAGGACTGGCAGTGGAGTCTGGTCACTAGCTCATTCACATGGAAAGTCCATGCGTGGAACTGAGTGCAGTGTTGGGCTGTGGCACCTGTGGTCTTCCCGACGAGTGACCCGCAGGCTCCTTAGCTCTGAAGAAGTTTGGACTCCTATGTCCCCACGGCCCTGAGTCCAGCCCCACCCCAACTGCGGGTCTGACCACTGTGTCCCCACAGCCCCAGGTCCAGCCCCACCCCATCCGCGGGTCTGACCACTGTGTCCCCACAGCCCCAGGTCCACCCCCACCCCATCCGCGGGTCTGACCACTGTGTCCCCACAGCCCCGGGTCCAGCCCCACCCCATCCGCGGGTCTGACCACTGTGTCCCCACAGCCCCGGGTCCACCCCCACCCCATCCGCGGGTCTGACCACTGTGTCCCCACGGCCCCGGGTCCAGCCCCACCCCATCCGCGGGTCTGACCACTGTGTCCCCACGGCCCCGGGTCCAGCCCCACCCCATCCGCGGGTCTGACCACTGTGTCCCCACGGCCCCGTGTCCACCCCCACCCCATCCGCGGGTCTGACCACTGTGTCCCAACGGCCCCAGGTCCACCCCCACCCCAGCTGCGAGTCTGAGCCGTGGGCCCTGTGTCCCCACAGCCCCGGGTCCAGCTCCACCCCAGCTGCGGGTCTGAGCACTGCCCTCTCTCTGCAGGGCCTGATGAGGCAGCTGGTGCTTCTGCCCGGCTCGGATGCCACCCCCAGCCTGTGCCCCAGCAGCAACGCCCATCTGGCCCAGCTGTCCATCCCTCCCGCACTGCAGGGCTTCCCAGGAGAGCCAGACAACAACGAAGTGCTGAAATATCCCTATGGTTAGTAGTTGAGGCCATAGTGCCCCACCCCAGGGGGTCTGCTGAGATCTAGGACTCTATGGACTGTCCATGGCTCTGTGGAGGACTGTCCATGGCTCTGTGGACTGTCCATGGCTCTGTGGAGGACTGTCCATGGCTCTGTGGAGGACTGTCCATGGCTCTGAGGACTGTCCATGGCTCTGAGGACTGTCCATGGCTCTGAGGACTGTCCATGGCTCTGTGGACTGTCCATGGCTCTGTGGAGGACTGTCCATGGCTCTGTGGGACTGTCCATGGCTTTGTGGAGGACTGTCCAAGGCTCTGTGGACTGTCCATGGCTTTGTGGAGGACTGTCCGTGGTTCTGTGAAGGACTGTCCATGGCTCTGTGGATTGTCCATGGCTCTGTGAAGGACTGTCCATGGCTCTGTGAAGGACTGTCCATGGTTCTGTGGAGGACTGTCCATGGTTCTGTGGAGGACTGTCCATGGCTCTGTGGAGGACTATCCCCGGTCTCTTTGGAGGACTGTCCATGGCTCTGTGGAGGACTGTCCATGGCTTTGTGGACTGTCCATGGCTTTGTGGACTGTCCATGGCTCTGTGGACTGTCCATGGCTTTGTGGACTGTCCATGGCTCTGTGGACTGTCCATGGCTCTGTGGAGGACTGTCCCCGGTCTTCGTGGAGGACTGTCCCCAGTCTCTGTGGAGAACTGTCCATGGCTCTGTAGAGGACTGTCCATGGCTCTGTGGACTGTCCATGGCTCTGTGGAGGACTGTCCCCGGTCTCTGTGGAGGACTGTCCATGGCTCTGAGGACTGTCCATGGCTCTGTGGACTGTCCATGGCTCTGTGGAGGACTGTCCATGGCTCTGTGGAGGACTGTCCATGGCTCTGTGGAGGACTTCCCCTAAGACGGCAGGCCTCTTGACCTCTGCCTTGTCTCCTGGCTGGCCAGTGCCCAGGGCCCTGGGATGCAGAATGTGCTGTCAAGTCAGCCAAAGCCACCTCCTCTTCCCTCTGAAGGCCCTGCCTGGCTGGGCCCTGGGCAGATCCCTTTACCTTCCCGGGCACCCTGGGCAGATGGCAGCCATGGCTCCCTTTAGAAACTCCTTTGGAGCAACCCTGTGCTCCGAGATGCCTGGCGCTGTTCTGTGATCCCTGCGGCCTGGCTGAGTGCTGCCTGTGGGCATCTGCCACGTGTAACCACTTAACTGAAATCAAGCCCGCCGGCTGCAGACACAGAGCGCCCCTCCCGAGGCAGGGGGAGAGCGAGGGGGCTCGTGATGCGCAGAGCTCCCACCAAAGCACGACCCAGCTGGGCCCAGCCACTGGGCGGACAGTCACGTGGAGCCTGCTGCAGACCGGCTGCACCCACGGTCAAGAGAACCGAAACGCGTGCGTAGCTCACACTTACACCAATAAGGATGTGTCCTGAGCATGGAGCCCCGCGATTACCCAGCCCTCCGCAGGAGGCCGGTGGGGCATCCATGTCCAGGCCTGCACCTCGAGGCTGGCCACAATCCAGTCTGCCTGACCTCCCGCCCGACACGCGGCCCCTCCCTATCTCCACAGACGCCAACGTGCGAGTGACCCTGGGCACGCAGCCGCCCTGCTCTCGGGCCCAGGAGGCCCAGTTCTGGTTTGACGCCGTCCGGAGGGGGCTGTACCTGTGCACACGCGGACAGTGGCTCTCCGTGTTGGCAGGTGAGGCTTCCTGAGGACAGGGCGATCATGCCCTGAGCACGCAGGTTCCCCCCCACACACGCCCCACAGGCCCCACACACACCCCGCAGACCCACACACACCCTACAGACCCCCACGCACCCCACAGGTCCACACACACACACCCTGCAGACCCTCACACACCCCACAGACCCACACACACCCCGCAGACCCACACACACCCCACAGACCCCCACACACCCCACAGACCCACACACACCCCACAAGTCTACACACACCCCGCAGACCCCCCCACACCCCGCAGACCCCCACACACCCCACAGACCCACACACACCCCGCAGACCCACACACACCCCACAGACACACACACCCCGCAGACCCCCACACACACCCCACAGACCCACACACACCCCACAGACCCACACACACCACAGACCCAAACACACCCCGCAAACCCACACACATCCCCCGCAGACCCACACACACACCACAGACCCCCACACACCCCACAGACCCCCACACACCCCAGACCCACACACACCCCACAGACCCCCACACACCCCAGACCCACACACCCCACAAGTCTACACACACCCCGCAGACCCCCACACACCCCGCAGACCCCCACACACCCCACAGACCCACACACACCCCGCAGACCCACACACACCCCACAGCCCCCCCCACAGACCCACACACCCCCCACAGACACCCACACACCCCACAGACCCACACACACCCCACAGGTCCACACACACACCACAGACCCACACACCCCCCGCAGACCCACACACACACCCCACAGACCCACACACACCCCGCAGACCCACACACACCCCACAGACCCACACACACCCCACAGACACACACACCCCGCAGACCCACACACACCCCGCAGACCCACACACACCCCGCAGACCCCCATACACCACAGACCCAAACACACCCCTCAAACCCACACACACACCCCGCAGACCCACACACACACCACAGACTCCCACATACCTCACAGACCCCACACACACCCCACAGACCCCCACACACCCCACAGACCCACACACACCCCACAGACCCACACACACCCCGCAGACCCACACACACCCCACAGACACACACACACCCCGCAGACCCCCACACACACCCCACAGACCCACACACACCCCACAGACCCACATACACCCCGCAGACCCACACACACCCCACGGGTCTACACACACCCCGCAGGCCCACACACACCCCACAGACCCACACACACCGTGCACCCAGACACACACATTACACACACATGCCAGCTGTGGGAGGGGCGGTTATGAAGAGGTGAGGACGCTCCGTCTCTGGGTGGTGTGTCCCGGGGGCCGCAGGGGGCTTGTGAGAGCTAGAGGTGGCCTCAGTCAGCCGTGACTCCCCGAGCAGATGGTCCAGCTCCATGCAGGCAAGCCAGGCGCGCGGCTCCGGCGCCAGGAGCCCCGGGCCTCAGCGTGAAGGCCACACTGCTCGGGGTGGCTGCAGAAGCCCAGGCTGCCGCGTGGTTTGTAAACACACATGTCCTGGTGTGGCCCTCGCTCAGGGCTTCCTGTTGACTAGAAGGTTCAGGAGCTGAGCTCGGCCTCCATGGGCTTCCTGTGCATGTCCTGTGCACCAGGCCACGGGTTAGACACAAGGCGCCACCCACCTAGTCTGTGTGTCATGCTGGTTCTTCCCCAGGGCTCCCAGTGGGGGAAGTGAGCCGGGACAGGGGTGGCATGGACAGGGCGTGAGCCGGGGCTCAGCTGTGGGCCTGTAGGAGCCCTGAGTCTTGGGACCCTCTTTGATTTGGACACCTTGTGTAAGTTGTATCCCGTTCCTACCTCTGGGAGGGGTACAGATCCCACAGCCAGGGAGAGCAGCCTCCCTCTGTATGTCTCCCACAAGAGTGAAACAAAGGCCCAGGAAATCTTCATGCAGCCAGCACCATGGACCGGGCTGGGCCCCCGGGGTGTCTAGGCTCCACACCTGGCCATGCTCACCAGGTCACGATCTTCCCATCACCAGCCAAGGCCAGGCTAGACTATGTGGAGGAGCATCAGAGCCTGTTCACCAACTCGGAGACGCTGGGCATGGAGACCTTCCGCATCCCAGGGGCAGGCCTCTTCGTGGCCACAGCCAATCGGAAAGCCAGGTCCACCATCTACAAATGGGCGGATGGAAAGTTTGTCTCCTATCAGAGCATCCCCACACACCAGGCCCAGTCCTGGCGACACTTCACCATTGGGAGAAAGGCAAGTCTGCAGGGGACCTCCCCTTCCTAGCGGAGTCCTCGGGCTGGGTCTGCACGCTCCCCTTCTCAGGGCTCCGACACCTTCCCCGGGGAGAGAGGCGGTGGACACAGCGCTGAGTCAGAGAAGTCCCGCAGCAGCCTCGGGACCAGCTCCTGGGCAGGATCTGCACACAGCGCATTTTCCAAGTTTTGAATTTGTTTTGCTTTCTAGTGGAGGCCATGGGGGATTTTAATGAACTTGACTGCCAGGTTTGGAGAGGAGGGCGCTGGCTTTGAGCTACCCCTCAGTGATCACAACATAGGCTGGGCTTGGCCAGTGCGTGCACGTGCGTGTGCACACACACGTGCATGCACACGTACACACATGCACTCACACACATGCACACACGTGTGCACACATGCACACACATGTGCACACACGCACACATGCACGCGCACACACATGCACACCCGCGCACACACATGCACCCGCACATGCACGCACACACACATGCACACACGCACACACATGCACACACACGCACACACATGCACTTGCACACATGCACCCGCACATGCACGTACACACACATGCACGCACGCACACACATGCACGCACACACCTGCACACACATGCACGCACATGCACGCACGCACACATATGCACTCACACACATGCACTCACTCACACGTGTGCACACATGTGCACACATGCACACACACACACACACACACACACACACCCTCTCCACGGGCATGGGTGAGGCAGTCAAGTGCAGAAACAACACAGGTCACCCTCTGCAGGGATCATAGTGGACTGGCCTGGTCAACGCCCTGTGCCAATCAGAGCAGAATGACCTGGTTCTCCTTTTTCAGATCTTCCTGGCTGTGGCTAATTTTGGACCAAATGAAAAGGGCCAGGAGTTCTCCGTGATTTACAAATGGAGCCCCAGAAAGCTGAAGTTCGTCCTGTATCAGAGGATTGCCACCCACAGCGCTCGGGACTGGGAGGCCTTCACGGTGGACGGGGAGCACTTCCTGGCAGTGGCCAACCACCGGGAAGGTAGGGCGGCAGCGGTGGCCCGTGACCTAGAAGGTAGGGCGGCAGCGGTGGCCCATGACCTAGAAGGCATTCAAAGTAATACCCGGCATCTGTGGTGCACGCCTGTAATCCCAGCCCTTACAAGCTGAGGCGAGAGAATTGCGATTTTGAGGCCAATCCCAGCTACATAGTGAGACCCTGTTGAGAAGAACGGAAGAAAGGAAAAAAGAGGAGGAGGAGGAAGGAAGGAAAGCGAGGGAAGGAAGGGAGGTGGGTCGTGCCTGGGCCATTTCCGGGAGTCCAGCCCTAGACATCTGGGTGTTGCTCACACAAACGCCTGCACACCTGCCTCGGTCGGGAGACCCCAGAAGACATGACCTACCGAACCCCAGCCCGCAATCTGCCCCTGCTTCCCTCCTGATTTGGAAGTAACCAGCCTGTCCTTGGGAGGGTCAGGCTGGCACAGTGAGCAAGGGGGACACTGGCCGCAGGCCACCCAGGTGGACGGCGTGGCGGTCTGGTGGCCCCATCCACCGTGGGACAGTGCTCATTCTGAGCAACTGTGTCAGAAGTTGGTGGGCAGCGCAGCCTGGCAGGGGCCGGGAGGTCTGGCTCCAAGGCCCCGCTCCCACCATGCGTGACTGGGGGCCAGTGAGTCTCCCCAGGCCTAAAGCTCTGGGCTGGTATGGAGAGGTCCGCGCACGTTCATGCTGCAGGGGACTCTGACCCGTCCTCCAACAGCCACACAGCATTTGCCCGGGTGTGCGGCCCACCAGGCAGGCTTGGGGGTCTGAAGCCGTTCCACTCGGGGTCCAGGGACCATGGCCAGAGCGTCCTCAGGGCCAGCACTCCGGCAGAATGGGCCTGGGAACCGCTGGCCATAGAGGGGGGCTGTGGGGAAGCATCACTGAGCACGGGACTGTCGGGGGCACTGTCAGGGACAGGTTCTCGGGGAGCCCTGAGGGAGGGGCCCCTCTCGGTCCTTCTCCACGGGGCTCGCTGACGGCCCTCCTCCACGGGGCTCGCTGACGGCCCTCCACGGGGCTCGCTGACGGCCCTCCTCCACGGGGCTTGCTGACGGCCCTCCTCCACGGGGCTCGCTGACAATGCTCTTTTGGAAAGCGGTGGGAGCCCAGGAGGTTTTCACTGGGGACGGAGCCTCCACCCGGGCCATGACAGCCAGGCACTGGGGACGGGATGACTCGGATGGCTGGGCAGGTCTTGTGCAGCTGCTTGTGCGAGACCCGAGGGGTGCGGGGCAAGAGTGGGGCTGCCGTGTCCCCACGCCCACACGGAACCCTGGTTCCAGGCGACAACCACAACATCGACAGCGTGATCTACAAGTGGAGCCCCACCACCCAGCTCTTCGAGGCCAACCAGAGCATCGCCACGTCGGGCGCCTATGACTGGGAGTTCTTCACGGTGGGGCCCTACTCCTTCCTGGTGGTGGCCAACACCTTCAACGGCACCTCCACCCGCCTGCACTCGCACCTCTACATCTGGCTGGTGGGCGCCTTCCGCCTCTTCCAGTCCTTCCTGGTAAGACCTGCCGCCCTCTCTCGCTCTCCCGCGTCGTCTCCGCAGACCCCGGAGTCTGCCCTGTGCGCCTGCTGGATCCTCGATCCTGGGCCCCAGAGCCTGAGCCTCCCCCAGGCACAGGCTCCGGCCCAAGGCGGGGGGCTGACCAGGGTGGGGTGCTCGCATGGGCCTCCTGCCCCAGGGCATGCCCCAGCTCTGCCACTCCAGCAGGGGGCTAGGTCTCCACCCCAGGTGGCCAGGCAGCTTGGCTGTGGCATGGGGGGTGGGTTGAGGTGTTTGGGGGAGCCTCTCCCTTTAGGCTGGAGGCCTGGCCCCCTTTGAATAGCGGGGAGGGAGCTGGGTGGATGTTAGAACCAGGCTGAGCAGGGAGCGGCCAGTGGTGGAAGCCCCCAGCTGAGGGGACCCACCCGCCCGCCCGCCCGCAGAGCCGGGCTGAGCCCCGCGGGCCCAGCCTCAGAGCCCCCCCTCCCCTCACACCTGTGTGTTTTGCCAGCATTTGCTCATTTTACTGAAATCCGTGTTGGCCCTGGAGATATCTTCATTTGTTTGCCGTGGGGTTTGAGCTTTGCAGGTCATGCGTGTGTGAGGCTCTGGGGAGCTGCCAGGGACCCGTTTCTTGAAGGCTCCCTGGTGCACGGTGGGAAGAGCCACGGGCGAAGGTGCTCACAGCGTGCACGGCCCGGTCCTCCCGCTGGGGCGGGACCAGCACAGGCTGGCTCCTCGGCCCACCCTCCAGTCCAGCCTCACACCACTCCAGAACCTTCCTCCTGCTGCCAGAGACTGCCGCTCTGTTTGGGCTCTCCCTGGAGCCCGGCCTCCCGCGTCGGGGTCCTGTGGCCTGAGCGGATGGGTGTTGAGCCTCTGGGCATGGTCTTGGGCACGTCCTCACTCTCTGAGAGGCGTCGGCTCTCCAATGGGGGGAAGGAGGGGGGAGGGGGGCTGCTGATGAGGACTCGAGGTTTGCTGCTGGAGGGAAGAGGCCCAGGGGGCCGCACAGACCAGGGGAGGGACACAGAGCCGTCCTGGGGCCAGTGCATGGGACCGGGGAGGCCCGGGGGGGGGGGGGGGGGGGCCTTGGGTCTGGAGCTGGCATTAGCACACATTGGCTGAAGTGTGGAAGGGTCTTGCCAATGGTGACAGCAGCCTCCAGGTCTGCAGAGACTGCACGTCACAGGCCTGCCCCAGTGTGCATGCACGTGAGCATGCGTAAATGTGCTGTGTACATGCGAATGCACTGTGCACGCATGTACACACGTGTACACACTCAGTACTGAAGAAGGCTGGGCAGAACCCCGCTGGCAGTTCTGAGGGCAGGAGGCAGTCAGATAGACAGCAGGCCCTCCAAGACCTGAACACATGCATGCCTCCCTGCCTCGGTTTCCACGCCTGTGAAGTGGGTGTGGTGTGAGTGCGTCTCTCCAGAGGCCAGCACTCCCGGCAGCGGCATCCCACAGCCGTCTGCGCTGAGTTGGGGCTGGCAGCCCAGGCTCCTGGGGAACATGGGGTTAGGGCTCCCCAGGGTGAGAGTGCAGCGGGCACCCGACCTGGCCGGGGAGTGCGCTGCACTCGCCACTCAGGGAGCCACCTGGCCTGAGCTGCAGCCCCCAGGAGACGGCAGCACCCTGCCCTAGGCCTTCGGGGCCACCCACCTCCCTGACAGCTGGGGAGGGGCCTGGCAGGCGTCCTGCCCCGCCCCCGTGTCTCCTGCAGTCCCCACCACAGTGTCTGCGAGCACAGTGCCCCTGTGACCACAGTGTCAGTGACCACAGTGTCAGTGACCACAAGTGTCAGTGACCACAGTGTCTGTGAGCACAGTGTCTGTGAGCACAGCGCCCCTGTGACCACAGTGTCAGTGACCACAGTGTCTGTGACCACAGTGTCTGTGAGCACAGCGCCCTGGTAACCACAGTGTCTGTGACCACAGTGTCCTTCTGACCACAGTGTCAGTGACCACAGTGCCCCTGTGACCACAGTGTCAGTGACCACAGTGTCTGTGACCACAGTGTCAGTGACCACAGTGTCCTTCTGACCACAGTGTCTGCGACCACAGTGCCCCTGTGACCACAGTGTCTGTGACCACAGTGTCAGTGACCACAGTGTCCTTCTGACCACAGTGTCCTTCTGACCACAGTGTCTGTGACCACAGCGCCCTGGTAACCACAGTGTCTGTGACCACAGCGCCCTGGTAACCACAGTGTCTGTGACCACAGTGACAGTGATTGTTTTCATGAAGGTTGTCCTAAGTATGACATAGACATTCATCCTCACCAAGCACCGTGTACTTGCTTGACCCTGGCTGGGCAAGAGGGGCTGGGCACCCCAGAACCCCAGCACGGACACCTGCAGCAGGTGCTGTGCCTATCCTGCATAGAGATGGACCAGGAACCAGAGGTGGCTCACCACCCATGGTACCCTGCTCACCACCCATGGTGCCCTGCTCACCACCCATGATGCCCTGCTCAACCACCCATGATGCCCTGCTCACCCATGATGCCCTGCTCACCCATGATGCCCTGCTCACCCGCCCATGATGCCCTGCTCACCAGCCCATGATGCCCTGCTCACCACCCATGATGCCCTGCTCACCCACCCATGGTGCCCTGCTCACCACCCATGATGCCCGGCTCACCACCCATGGTGCCCTGCTCACCCATGGTGCCCTGCTCACCACCCATGATGCCCTGCTCACCCACCCATGATGCCCTGCTCACCCACCCATGATGCCCTGCTCACCCACCCATGATGCCCTGCTCACCACCCATGATGCCCTGCTCACCACCCATGATGCCCTGCTCACCAGCCCATGATGCCCTGCTCACCCACCCATGATGCCCTGCTCACCCATGATGCCCTGCTCACCCGCCCATGATGCCCTGCTAACCACCCATGATGCCCTGCTCTCCACCCATGGTGCCCTGCTCACCAGCCCATGATGCCCTGCTCACCACCCATGATGCCCTGCTCACCACCCATGATGCCCTGCTCACCCACCCATGATGCCCTGCTCACCCATGATGCCCTGCTCACCCACCCATGATGCCCTGCTCACCAGCCCATGATGCCCTGCTCACCACCCATGATGCCCTGCTCACCCACCCATGGTGCCCTGCTCACCACCCATGATGCCCTGCTCACCACCCATGATGCCCTGCTCACCCACCCATGGTGCCCTGCTCACCACCCATGATGCCCTGCTCACCAACCATGGTGCCCTGCTCACCCGCCCATGATGCCCTGCTCACCACCCATGATGCCCTGCTCACAACCCATGATGCCCTGCTCATCACCCATGGTGCCCTGCTCACCCACCCATGGTGCCCTGCTCACCACCCATGGTGCCCTGCTCATCACCCATGATGCCCTGCTCACCCACCCATGGTGCCCTGCTCACCACCCATGATGCCCTGCTCACCCACCCATGGTGCCCTGCTCACCACCCATGATGCCCTGCTCACCCACCCATGGTGCCCTGCTCACCCACCCATGGTGCCCTGCTCACCCATGGTGCCCTGCTCATCACCCATGATGCCCTGCTCACCCACCCATGGTGCCCTGCTCACCACCCATGATGCCCTGCTCACCCACCCATGGTGCCCTGCTCACCACCCATGATGCCCTGCTCACCCACCCATGGTGCCCTGCTCACCCACCCATGGTGCCCTGCTCACCCATGGTGCCCTGCTCACCACCCATGGTGCCCTGCTCACCACCCATGATGTCCTGCTCACCACCCATGATGCCCTGCTCACCACCCATGATGCCCTGCTCACCCATGATGCCCTGCTCACCACCCATGATGTCCTGCTCACCCATGATGCCCTGCTCACCAGCCCATGATGCCCTGCTCACCCATGATGCCCTGCTCACCACCCATGGTGCCCTGCTCACCCGCCCATGATGCCCTGCTCACCCACCCATGATGCCCTGCTCACCCATGATGCCCTGCTCACCACCCATGATGCCCTGCTCACCACCCATGGTGCCCTGCTCACCACCCATGATGCCCTGCTCACCACCCATGATGCCCTGCTCACCACCCATGGTGCCCTGCTCACCACCCATGATGCCCTGCTCACCACCCATGGTGCCCTGCTCACCACCCATGATGCCCTGCTCACCAGCCCATGGTGCCCTGCTCACCACCCATGGTGCCCTGCTCATCACCCATGGTGCCCTGCTCTCCTCCCATGGTGCCCTGCTCACCACCCATGATGCCCTGCTCACCCACCCATGATGCCCTGCTCTCCTCCCATGTGCCCTGCTCTCCTCTTGCCTCGAACCTCCTGAGCACCTTTTCGGAGCCTTCACCTGCTGAAGCTCTCAGCACCCTTTGGCCAAGCCCTGGCCCTTCCTCGGGTCTCAGTCCCTCTGGAGCTGAGCCTCAGACCCACCTCCCTTTCTCCCTGTGCTGAGGCTCCCGCCCCCGAGCGTCTCCCCTGCCTTCCTACCTGCTGAACGCCGGGGACTTCTCAGCTCTGCCGGTCCCTGGCCGCCCAGCCGGGCTCGGGGGTGAGAGGAGCCCCCAGGCATCACGGGGCCTGGCCCTGGAGGGCAGCGGGCTCCACACACAGCAGTGGGCAGGTGTTGGGAAGGAAGCAGCCTGGAGACCTGACTGAGGGTGCAGGTGAGCTGAGCGCACACGTGCCTCTTGTGATGTGTGTACACACTGCATGCATGCCTGCATCTGTGTATGGGCCTGGGCATGCATGTGTGCGGCAGCTAAGTAATACATACCTGTGTGCACAGTTGTGTGCGTGTAGACGTGAGCACACATGTGTGCACACGTGGCTGCTCACAGCTTGGGAGGGGCGGCGATGTCCCAGGCTGACAGCTTCTGTCCCTAGCCCAGCACACTGGGTTGGTCCAGCAGTCCTGCTCTGTGAAGCGGCACAGGCAGATGGGGCTGACGGTCCTGCAGACCTTGACATCCCAGGCCACTGGGCCTTGGGGGCTGGTCCACAGGGGACAAACGTCCACGTGGGAGAAGAGGTGTGATCTCAGAGGGCCGAGTGAGCAGCCGAGCCCCGCAGCCCTGGCCCTGGCCCTGGTCCCTGGGAGTCTTATTCTTTGGCCTAAACTAGCACAGTGGCTGATTCTGAGGCAGCCTGGGCTTTGGGGTGGCCTCAGTGACCATGGGCTGGCGTTCCTGCCTGTGCCCTGGCCACTGAGCTTGGGCGAGCAGCAGCGCCCTCTGCTGCTCATGGAGAGAAAGGGCCTTTGCATGTGGCCTGGAGTTTGCTCTTTCTCTAAGTGCCCGGCAGTGCCAGCCAGGCCCTGGACAAGCAGGGGTCAGAGGGCAGCAGTGCACTAAACTTGCAGGCCAAGAGGTTAACAGACCTCTGTGGAGAACAGGTCAAAAAAAAAAATCACCCTAGGGTCTTGAGCCGGATGCTATGTAAACCTTTTCACTCAAGGCTGGTCACAGCTTCACTCCTGGATTTTGGTTTTTGTTGGTTAATTGGAGATGAGTCTTCCAGACTTTCCTCCGTAGGCTGGCTTTGAACCGTGATACTCAGATCTCATCCTTCCGAGTTGCTAGGATTATAGGCGTGAGCCACCAGTGCTCAGCTGTGTGTGTTTTGTGAAAACATACTTGTCGGGACATAGATGTATATGTGTATGTTCATTTGCAAATACTACCCAGGTCTTTCCCCTGTTTTATTTGACCTGTTCACTGCTGTGCGGAAGTCCCGGACACGGGCTCCCCTTGGTCTCTGTAGCTCCCATGCTCATGCTAGATTTTCGGTCTATTTGGAAGGGCTGTGCAGCTCCCTGTGAGGTGAACTCAGCACATGCAGTCATCTTGTTCCGGCTCCTGTCACACCACCATGTGAACGTGTAAGAACATGCTCATACGCAGCAGGTTCTATAGCTTGTCAGAGTGCTTGCTTTCCATGGCCACCTGCCTTCATCCACGCACTGCCCACCTCTAATAACTCCACCCACCTCAGATTCTCCATTCCATCTGTGAGACTTTCCTTCAGCCTGAAAAACTCCCTTCAGCACGTCTTACAAAGTGGTCTGCTGGCCATCCATTCTGCCATCATATCCATCTTCCCTTCACTCCTGAGGGACGTGGAGTCTACCGGTCACCTTCCAATGTCCTCTGTGGACGCCATGCTCCAGAGTGTGTCCCCTGGTGCTTGTGTCATTGGAGTGTGTCCTGTGCTTTTTTGTATTCATCCTGCCTGCATAGTCTCTGATCTTGGATCTGCAGTATAAGGTTTCAAATTCAACTTGGAAACATTCTATTCATCGCTTCTCCCCCTATCTTCTGCCTCCTCTCCCCATTCGTTTCCTCCAGTTCCGTCTCCCCGCCCGGCTCTGAGGGTCTGCTCTGTGTTAGATGGATGATTTCCATGGAAGCCAATGTGGACACTGCGTTCTCAGTGCAACACTTACTATTTGGTTCCTTCCAGAGCTTCTCAGGCCTCCTGATGTCTCTTTCTCACGGCTCCTTCCGCCCTCCCCTGTGCTCCTGTCTTCCATCCTGAAGGCGGCTCCCGTGGCCGCTGTGGCCCCACGTCCGGCTGCGAAGTTCCGTCAGCAGCACCTCCCGGCCGCGCCGGTCACCTGCAGGGCTTGTCTCCTGGCATTCCCGGCATGGTGCCCGCACGGGTGCCATCTGGCACCTTCCGCTAGGGGGTGCCGGGGGTCACAGCGGCCTCTGGGTTTAACCTTCCGTGTTTAACCCCAGGCAGCCCCACCACCACCACCCCCCTACCCCCGCGGCTGCCAGGATTCCAGGGTTCTCCCTTCTCTCGCCTGGTGTGGCTCAGGCCTCGGCCCCGCCCCCCAGCCCAGACAGCCGGCTAGGCTGGACGGGCTCCTGGCCCCCGCTGTCCATCTTTGGCTCTTTGGACTCAGTCTCTGATGCAGTGCACTCTGCTGACTCGCGGAGAGTCCTTGTGCCGTGTCCCTCCCCAGGACCAGGAGCAGAAAGTCAGAGGCAAAGGCCCTGCGGCACTTCCCGCCCGGGCCGGGTGGGCGGGGATGGGCGTCCCCTCCTGCAAGAGCTGAGCCCACAGAGTCCCGCCCACCACGCCCCACGTGGGCTGCCCGGTCCCACCCTCCACTCACACCCCAGGTCACCCACGGGGCCTCTGCCTTGGCCTTGTGCTTCCAGGAGCCTCCTCCTGCCCTGCACCTCTCTGCCTGGGTCTGGATTCTCCAGCTCTCTTCCTTCCTGCCTCCTCCGCATCCCCCCCCACACCCTTTTTCCTTTTAGCCCTGAGAACAAATAGCCGCTCACCCCACCACCCACACCCCCAAGGGGTGAGAGGCCCCCCAGGAGGTACAGGTGCCCACGGGCTCTGCCCAGGGCATCAGGGACTTTCCTCCATCCACCCAGGGAGGCTGGGACGCCCCCTCGGGGCAGAGGCTGTGAGGCCGGTGGAGGCTGGACGGCCCCCAGAGGAGGAGGCTGGACACAGGACTTGAGGAGCAGTTAAGAAGGGAGACAGCCCCCGTTCATCACCCACCAACACTGGAAAAGTCCTAAGAAAAACGTGTGGGGATGGGGAGCACTGAGAGCAGGGGTGTGGAAAAGTCCCCTGGGGGGCCCGCCACGGCCCTCTGCGCCAGCCTGCATTCAGGTCCTGGGGCCGGGCCATCAGACAGACACCGGCCTGCAAAGAGCGGTGGGCCTGCAGGCCAGCGGTGTGGGCGTGGGTGCCGGCGTGGGTGGTGGGAGCTCTGCCGCCCTCCTGCCCTCCCGCCCTCCTGCCCGGCCCTCCTCTGCCCTAGACGTTTGGCGCCGCGGACTGGGAGGTTCTCCACATCGGGGACAGGGTCTTCCTGGCCGTGGCCAACAGCCACAGCTACGACGTGGAGACGCAGGTTCAGAACGACTCCTACGTCCTCAGCTCCGTCATCTACGAGCTGAACGTCACCGCGCAGAGCTTCGTCAAGTTTCAGGACATCTCCACCTGCAGGTGGGGGGCTGCGCAGGAGGGGGGCAGGGCGGGTCTGGGGCGGGCCACCTCCCGCCAGTTCCTCCCCGTGTCTCCTGAACCGTCTGACTGGCAGATGCGCAGAGCGGATCTCAGGGAGTTTTTTCAATCCAAAAGAAAAAAAAATCCTGAGACCAGGAGATCAAGCTCCGTGCCTGGCTCGGACCCAGAGCCAAGCCGGGTACGCTGCCGCCACAGCGGCCACGGCCGGAGAGCCACAGTCCCCACTACGGGGCACGTGGGACGTGGCAAGGGGGCCCTGCCAGGATCCGCTGAGGTCAGACGTGCCGGGCGCTTCGGAAGGAAGCTAGAGGGAGACGCGGAGCAGCGGGAGCCAGCGGTGGCAGTGACCTGCCTCTCACGCCACACCCTCTTCCTCCACAGTGCTCTGGACTGGGAGTTCTTCTCCGTGGGGGAAGACCACTTCCTGGTGGTTGCCAACTCCTTCGATGGAAACTCCTTCTCTGTGAACAGTATTATTTACAGGTAAAGACCAGCCAGGGCCGCCCCTCCTGCCTCAGCGCTCACCTGCCCTGCCAGGGCTCCCCAGCTTAGGCCGGGCCAGGCCTCGTGGTCAGGTGAGGCTGGATTTGTGAAGAACTGTAAGCATCATGAGTGGGTGTTACTTCCATTCCCCGCAGCCCACCAATGAGCAGCTGGGATGCCCATGGGAGCCTCAGGCGCCTGGCTCTAGTTTTTGCCTGACAGCCTCAAGGACCGAGAGACGCAATCATATCTGAGAACAAAGACAGCTTTGCCCTCTGGTCTCTAAGGCCGTTGCTGCTTCCCTGTTTCCGGTGTGCTTGCTTGCTGGTCTTGGCTGTGCTGTGCTGCAGCACGGACTCGGGGCCCACGCTCGAGAGGCAGGCGCCCCACACTCATCTCGGCCATTGTGCTGTCCTTTGCTTTTCAGACACAGTGTAGACTTGGCCCAGGGCTGGCCTGGAACCGCCCTCCTCGCTCTGCCTGCAGCAGCTGGGGCTGCAGCCGTGTGGCGTTGTGGCCACTTCCTTTCTTGGTTTTCTTAACTAGCTACAAGCTGCAGAGCAGCCTTGGCCAGCAGAGCGGCCTCTGCCCATGGGGAGGCCGCTGCATGTGGGGTTGGCGGGAAGGTACGATGGTGCCCTCCTCCGGCCTCGACGCTTGCTCTGCTTGAGGCTTCCTGTGGTGCTGGGTATGCTTTCTCTATGAATGTATCGATGGTAGCCTGCTGCTTGGTGACTCCTAGTAAGAGGTAGAAGCTGACGTCCCAGAGAATGCATTATTGCTTTATGTATGGCTGGATTCCATGGCTGTTGTGTAAGAATTGTACAACAGGAAATGAAGTTGCTCTGGTGCCTGTGGGGACTTTCTGGACTAATTCATAAATATTCTCTGCAGTGTTTTCTCACTCTGCCCAGGGGTCTGAATAGTTGAACTAACAGGTGTAATTGTTTCCTATGCCTGGGGTAAGTTTATTTACAAGCCATGCGGACCTGGTGCCTTGTTGATAGTGTCTTAGATAGCATTCTCAGTCTCGGCCTCCAGGTGGTATTTTCAGGTCTCCAGCTCTCTTCACTTAGTTTTGATCGTGTCTTTACTAAAAGAAACGTCTGATTTCCTTAGACTTCAAATCTATCATGCTGAAAGCAGCATGGTAAAATAATTCCAAAATGGATGTGGGGGGAATTCTTTAAATGACCAAAGAAACTTTGGGGGAAAGGCAGGGAAGGAGAAAGCGGCCTGTCCATCCACAGATAGGTAGATGATCCTCCTGCCCTCCCGTGAGCACAGAGATGGCTGTGCTGGGTAAAGCTCGGCGGTAGAGTGCTTACCTCCCTCTATGGGGGCCTGAGTTTCATCCCCAACCACACAGGAAGCTGATAGGTGGGGTGAAGAGCCAAGAACTGACGGTTGTTTAACGTGATAAGAGATATATTTAAGTCAATGGAAAAGCCTGGAGTACGGATATTTAAGTCAATGGAAAAGCCTGGAGTATGGAATAAAGTAACCTCATACAATTTGTGATCTATCTGGAGGAAAACAAAGCTAAACCCTTATTGCATAGCCACATTCAAAAATTAATCTTATAGCCGGGCGCTGGTGGCTCACGCCTGTAATCCTAGCTACTCAGGAGGCTGAGATCTGAGGATCGTGGTTCAAAGCCAGCCCGGGCAGGAGAGACCGTGAGACTCCTATCTCCAATAAACCACCAGAAAACCGGAAGTGGCGCTGTAGCTCAAGTGGTAGAGCGCTCACCTTGAGCTGAAGAGCTGAGGGACAGCACCCAGGCCCAGAGTTCAAGCCCCACCACCGACTAAAAAAAAAAAAAAAATTAATCTTATATGGATTAAAAACCAAATGTAAGGATAGGCACGGGGGAAAAACCCAAATATAAAAAATTCAACAAGAGGACCATAGGAGAGCCAGGAACGGGGAGTCACACGGGTGTACCAGCTGCCCGGGGGTGCACGGGGGGGGGTTGTTTAGGCAAAGGGCGGCCCGGCCAGACCCCTCTCAACACCCGCGTCCTCCCTGCAGAGAGGCTTAGGTAGGAAGATCACAGTCGCCGGCCGGCCCGGGCAGAACTGACCCCCTTCCTGGAGGGGGAGCCGGGGGTGGCCGGCAGAAGCTGTCTGTCCACCCCAGGGCCCCACGCGGGCACGGGAGGACAGACCCTCGGGGGATAGAAGGTGGATTTTCATTGAGAAAAGGGGCCAAGGCTCTGACCAAGGAAACTGCTAGAAGTTTGTTCTCACCTGCAGGGTGGGAGGGTGGACAGCTCCAAGTTGGCGGGCCGGACTGGGCTGGAAAACAGCCCGGGGAAATGTGAAAACCAAAGCCCATGCCCTCCAACAACAACCTAGCCACGCGTGGACACTACACCTCATGCACGGGGCACGCCCCGCGGCCAGGCCTCCTGGTGTTGGGGTACGGAGCAGAGCAGGGGCCACGAGCACGGTGCAGGGGGTTAGAGCGGAGGGCGCTGCTCCCGCTGGGACCTTGTGTCCGCCGGCCCAGGGCGGGGCCGTGCCCAGACACGCCCCACCCACTGCCAAGGAATGGCCAGGCCCATCCCCGCCCACAGCCAAGACAACCCGAGGGGCGCCCAGAGACATGCCCCACCCACTGCATGGCCAGTCACAGCCCCGCCCTCCAAGGCCCCGCCCACAGCCAAGGCCCCACCCACAGCATGCCATGTCCATCTGTCCCACAGACCCCCTGGGGGCAGTGGAGTCACACTGTGTCCATCTGTCCCGCAGACCTGGGGACAGTGGAGTCACACCATGTCCATCTGTCCTGCAGGCCCACTGGGGGGCAGTGGAGTCACGGCGTGTCCATCTGTCCCGCAGACCTGGGGACCGTGGGCCCACACCGTGTCCATCTGTCTGCAGGTGGCAGGGCTACGAGGGCTTTGTGCCAGTGCACAGCCTCCCCACCGTGGGCTGCCGGGACTGGGAGGCCTTCCACACGGCCACTGGCTCCTTCCTCATCTACTCCAGCGCCAAGGAGCCCCTGTCCCGGGTCCTGCAGCTCAGGACCATCTGAAGGCCAGGGCAGCCGCAGCCAGCCGGACTCCACCGCCCTGACCAGCTCTCCACGCCCTGCTGGGGCTGCACTGACCACCCGGCGGCCCTGGGCCCAGCGGGCCGAAGCCCCCACCATGGCGCAGCCCCCGAGTCCAGCAGATTCGGCCTCGGGGCAGCTTCCTCCAGTCTTACCTCACTTGGCCTCAGCCCTTGGCGCAGCCCACGTGGGCCCTGACTATTTATTGTATTTTATCTACAGGCAAATATATTTATATCACTCTGTCCCAAAGGGCGGCGCAGCGTCCTGCTTGCCCGGGCCAGGCCGGGGACGCGCACGGCCCCAGCCAGGGAAGCCCCTCTTGCAGGCAGCTGCTCCTGCGGGCCTCAGTGCACCTGCAGATGCTTTGGGGACAGGGCTAGGCCCCACCCCCAGGTCCCCAGTGGAGGCCACAGCGCCCCTTCTCTGGCCAGTCACCCGGTCCCCGCAGCTCCACACTGTGTGCAGAGGGCTCTGCCCCCATGTCCAAGGCCCCTGCCCTTTCCCTGCTCCGGGCTCAGGACATCGGGGTGTGGGCTCATGTGGGGGTTGGGAGGCTCGGTGCGGGCTGGGATTCTCCAGGGTCCTCACCTCAGGGCCCAGGAGAGGAAAACTCCAGGGGGCTGCAAGGTGGCTGCACAGGGGGCCAGGAGGAGCCCATCATGGATCAGAGCAAGTGGACCAGGGCCAGCACGGGACCGGAGCAGCCCCGTGGCCAGCATGGCCAGGGCAGACCCACGGCCAGGGCGCCCAGGGCTGGCATGGGAGCGGGGCAGACCCACGGCCAGGGCGGACACGTGGAGGGGATGCAGGGGCAGTGCCCCGCTGGGTCTGTGGGGCAGACAGGCCATCTGGAAAGCCGGGACGGAGGTGGGGCGAGTCACCTTGGGACTACTTCTGAAGAATCTCCAGAAACTCGCTCACAAGGGTGCAGCCACAGAGAAGCGGGGGGCAGGGGGGGAGCCCAAGCAGCAGAGAGCCTGCCTCCTCGCCTGTGTTGATTAAACCACGTGTTGGCTGACACGCAGAGAGCTTGCAGATGAGATTAGTTTTAAAGTCTGAATGGGAGGTGAAGCAGAAGGGCGGGAATCATCCAATCAGAGGAAGGAAGTCTGCGGCCAGCCCCGCCCAGCTCCAGGCAAGGTGACCCGGATGTCTCTGCGCCCCTCTGTGTGCCGAGGGGGCTGCTGGGGTGTCCGATGGCCCTGGGGCTGGTGCCAGGTGTGGGGGGGGTGACACATGTCACACCGTACACGGAGTGGGGAGCCGCGGGCATGGCTGCCAGGGCTCTGATGTCCTCAGAGCCCATGCAGGATGGGTGGCAAAGGCCGCAGCCGTCCGGCCCACGGAGGGGGGGGGGGGAGTGCGCAGATGAGAAGCTAACCCTGTGCGCAGGATTTCTAAGTTACAAACGCAAGCCTGAGGGCAGTGTAGAGAGGGCTCAGATACGTGTAGCGGCCATCTGTGCTTCTGGATTCTGTCTGCATGTTGGGCGCTTGCAGGCCCCTGCTCTGCTGCCCGCACGCTCGCCAGCCAGCTGCTGCTCAGACAGGCTGGTGGGCTGAGCCGGGTGCTTCTTACTCATCCGTGGGAATTCTTGTCACTATAAAGGCATGGTTGTACAGTCTCCCTCCTGGAATTATTCCCAGAGCTGCCCTCGGCAGCTTCTCCCTCTGCTCCTTGCTCCTGAGCTTTGCTCCCTGCAGTCCTGACCAAAGACCGGGATAGCTGTGTGTGACATCACCGCGTCAGCTGTGTGTGACATCACCGCGTCAGCTGTGTGTGACATCACTGTGTCAGCAGCGGTGTGTGACATCACCACGTCAGCAGCGGTGTGTGACATCACCGCGTCAGCAGCTGTGTGTGACATCACCGCGTCAGCTGTGTGTGACATCACCGCGTCAGCAGCTGTGTGTGACATCACCGCGTCAGCAGCTGTGTGTGACATCACCGCGTCAGCAGCTGTGTGTGACATCACCGCGTCAGCAGCTGTGTGTGACATCACCGCGTCAGCAGCGGTGTGTGACATCACCGCGTCAGCAGCTGTGTGTGACATCACCGCGTCAGCTGTGTGTGACATCACCGCGTCAGCTGTGTGTGACATCACTGTGTCAGCAGCGGTGTGTGACATCACCACGTCAGCAGCTGTGTGTGACATCACCGCGTCAGCTGTGTGTGACATCACCGCATCAGCTGTGTGTGACATCACCACGTCAGCAGCGGTGTGTGACATCACCACGTCAGCAGCGGTGTGTGACATCACCGCGTCAGCAGCTGTGTGTGACATCACCGCGTCAGCTGTGTGTGACATCACCGCGTCAGCAGCTGTGTGTGACATCACCGCGTCAGCAGCTGTGTGTGACATCACCGCGTCAGCAGCGGTGTGTGACATCACCGCGTCAGCAGCTGTGTGTGACATCACCGCGTCAGCAGCGGTGTGTGACATCACCGCGTCAGCAGCTGTGTGTGACATCACCGCGTCAGCAGCTGTGTGTGACATCACCGCGTCAGCTGTGTGTGACATCACCGCGTCAGCAGCTGTGTGTGACATCACCGCGTCAGCTGTGTGTGTGACATCACCGCGTCAGCAGCTGTGTGTGACATCACTGTGTCAGCAGCTGTGTGTGACATCACCACGTCAGCTGTGTGTGACATCACCGCGTCAGCAGCGGTGTGTGACATCACCGCGTCAGCAGCGGTGTGTGACATCACCGCGTCAGCAGCGGTGTGTGACATCATTGGGTCAGCTGTGTGTGACATCACCATGTCAGCAGCGGTGTGACATCACCGCGTCAGCAGCTGTGTGTGACATCACCACGTCAGCAGCGGTGTGTGACATCACCGCGTCAGCAGCTGTGTGTGACATCACCGCGTCAGCAGCGGTGTGTGACATCACCGCGTCAGCAGCTGTGTGTGACATCACCGCGTCAGCAGCTGTGTGTGACATCACCGCGTCAGCAGCTGTGTGTGACATCACCGCGTCAGCAGCGGTGTGTGACATCACCGCGTCAGCAGCTGTGTGTGACATCACCGCGTCAGCAGCGGTGTGTGACATCACCGCGTCAGCAGCTGAACTCGTATGCTCTGTGCAGAGCTCTCGTTGCTCACCTGCTCCTCTCACCTCACCCTCCACCCCACAGACACCCAGGCACCCAGATGCACATCCCCACACGTGCAAACACGTACACACACGCATGTGCACCAGTGCTAATGCATGCACGCGTCTACACAAATCTCAGCAATGCAGCCATGGCTCGTCACCAGCAACAGACCACGAACAAGATCCTCCCACGCCTGGCCAGCTCTTGCCTGAGGGACGGTGTTCTCGCGGGCTCTGCGCTGTGGTGTGGTGTGGCTGCTCCTCCAGGGAGCTGAGGGTTGGGGAGGGGAGGTCAGGATGGAGCTGAGCACATCAGCTGACAACTCCAGACACAAGCCACACAGCCACACAGGTTTAGCACCTAGGAAGAGGCACTGATCACAGAAATGCCACCCCAGATGCTGTCACCTGCGTCACAGGCTCACACCGGCAGGCCGGGGCAGAGCGGCTCCTGCCGTCAGCCGGGGAAGCAGTGAGCGCCCTGCTGGGAGAGGGATGGGCGTGTCGCCCGCTGCAGAGCCTCCAGCTTGTGCCCTAGTTATTGTGATTTCCAGATTGACAGACTGGTGACCTTGGGGAGCACAGGGCTGTGCCACGTCCTCCTGACCTGGCCATGCTGGCCTGTGATCACGTGACGCACAGAGGCCCTTGGAGCAGGAGTTGAGCTGGTGACACCAGGACAGCCTTGCTGGCCGGCACCGGTCAGTACCCAAGATGCCTGCTCTGGGCACACTGCGCAGCTGCCCGGCCCACACATCCACTCACCTGTCTGCTAAGAGAGGGATCCTGGTAGGGCCTAGCCAGACGCCCACCCTGCACACAGGCCTTGAACCCTTGAGCCCCGGGCAGGTCCACACCCATCACCCACCTTCGCTCCTCTGATGTGGCTCACGCGACTCCAGCCCTGGGCCACCCATGTAATGGTGCCTCCCTTCCCGCGGCCCAAGGATCAGCTGCTCTGGAATGTGCCTCCTGCCTCAATCCGCACAGGCACCCTCCAGCCCGGCCCAGGACCGGGCGGGGGAGCTTCCTCCCGGCCCCTGTGCGCAGCCCCCAGCCAGCCGCTGCCTGCCAGCGCCAGGGCATCAGCTCCCTGCCTGGCCTGCGTCATCGCCATGGTGACAGGTGCAGAGCCCGCGCAGCGGCTCCTCCGGCGCCGTGCAGGCGGCCAGGCCGTGGCCCTGTTTTGCCTCACTCGCTGGCCACTGGCGCTGGCTGGTGCGGTACCACCCAGCGCGGGCCGTTGTGTTTTGACAAGGCCCCTCCCAGGGTCCTGAGGGAACACACACGTCCAGGCTCAGTACCAAAGACCCAGGCTCTAGTTCAGCGCTGCCCCCAAGTGAACCCCGGCTCCCCACCCCTCCCTTGGGGCCCAGAACCTCGCTTCCCCTCTGAGAACACAACCCACCACCCCAGCACCCCAAGAACAAACCCAACCTCCCTTGAGAGCAAGCTGGCTCCTGGGGCTGACCCTGGGGCTGCTGTCCCCTCCCAGGGGGGCCGCCCGCCCCACCAGGAGCCACACCATGGGCTGAAGACAAACGGCTCCCCAGGAACTGGCAGCAGCCACGCAGCGGGAGCTGACTTTACACATCTTCCTGGAAAGAGGCCGAGAGGCCGCCCACTCCTGCGCTGTGGCCAGGCGCTGCCACGGGCCCAGAACCTTCCTCCTCCACAGCCTGAGTCCTCCCTGCTCCCAGGGAGCCCAGTCCACACTGAGACCCAGTGCCCACCCACAGCTGACTGGTGGGGCGGGCAGCCCCGGAGGTGAGCTCACCCCACAGTCCCTGCCAGGCTGGGTCTCGGCTCGGGCCCCTCTGGGGTCCGCCCCACCTGCTTCCCGGGGAGTCCCGGTTCTCCTTGCCCACCCTTCCCCCCTCCCCGCTGGCCCCTAATCTCCCCCACCTGCCACCAGCGCCTGCTTCCCCTGACGCCAGAGCTGGCTGCCCCGCGCTGCCCACATCTGTGACCTGTGGCCTGGCCAGCACCCAGTGCCTGAGGCCCAGCGAGCACTGTGCCTCCCGAGGCCGTGGCCGGGGGTCGAGGGTTCCAGCTGTCACTGGAAGCAGCAGGGCCGCGTCTGGTGTGGGCCCGGGGCCCTGCAGATCCCCGAGGAGGACGGCAGCAGGCTCTGAGCCCTGCCTCCCACCACAAGCCTGGTATGACTCCACACGGGGCTCGAGCCAGGACTCCACTCACACTGCACGTGCTGGGCACGAGGGCCCCAGACAACCCCACCCCTCCATCCACTGCACAGCACACTGGCTTGAGTGCAGGTGTGGGCATGGTCTCTAGACCCTGAGGGCCATTTCTCCTTAACACACCACCAGGACTAAAGAATCATGACTTGGTTCTGCTGTGCTGTGGGCCTGTTTCCGTGATGCTGACAGGTCAGCCCAAGCCAGCGTGGTCACGTGACTATGCTCCTGTCTGGAGCCAGCGTGGGCACAGCCCTGGCATGCAGTGGTACCGACGCCAGACCAGACCTCGGTGGCCTCACTCCTCCACTGCAAGTCACACAACACTTTGCAGATCACAAGCCAAAAACAAGCTCAAGTTCTAACCAGGTCTCTTCTTGATAAGGCATCTATACTTGAAGCTCATAACCAATTTACACTTATTTGTTCCCCACACACACACAGATATCTGAAGTAGCTTGAAGTGTAACATAAAAAACACAGTAGAAAATAAAACTAGAAATGAAGAATCATAGACATGGAAGTCACAGCTACCCTGAATAGGAAGTAAGTTGGGTAAGAAAACTGAGCAACAAATGAGCTCTGAAGTTCCTGGCAGCAGAGGTGAAGAGAAAAAATTCTTGTTGCTGGAGAAGAGAAGCATCCACTGAGCGGCCTGGAAACATCCAACTGCAGTCCCTCTGTCCTTTGTAGAGACAGGTTTCGGACATGGGTGATAGAAAAGCAAGGCACGGGAGTGAGCGGTCCGCAGCCTCCTCCAGCTGGGCACTGGAAGCAGGAAGGGCTGTTTTACTGGGTTTTTTGTGGCAGCCATCTGCACTCTGTAGACGCGTGTTGGACCTTTCTCCACCCCGGGGATCAATGGATTACAATTTTGGCACAACGCTTGCTCAAACATTCTGAAGACAAAGGTTAGTAAAAGCTCCAAATTCCACTGACTTCTCTAGAAAACTGGTCTTCTAGAGCTTTGCACTGGACAAATGGCCATCGCCTTTCGTGTTCTGATGTGTGTGTACCAGGCAAACACTGGCCGGCCACCCAAGGGCCAACCTGCCCGTGGTGTCACCGTGAGTCAGCACCCCTCCAGGCCTGGGGGCCCTCCTCCTCTGTGTCCATTCTCACATCACCGCGTCCCCCAACCGTAGTACCCCTTTCTCTAAGCCTGTTTCCTTGCACACGCCCCCCCCCATCCCAGGGCAGGAGTGCTCGCCCGTGCCTCCCAAGGAAGCGCTTTTCACACGGAAAAGGCCAGTGCCCAGCCTCCCTCCCTGGAGGACACAGCTCGGCCTCCGCCACTTCCAAAGCCTGCGTGGGGAGGGGCGGCGTGCGGGGCGCTAGGGCGCGGGGCCCCGGGCGTCCTTGGCGGCGGGGGCGCTGGGCAGCGACTTCAGGTACTCCAGCTGTCTCCTGGCATCCTCCTGGTTGTGCCTCACGTAGTAGACGACGTAGGTGACGACCATGGCAAACCAGCCGAACATGGTGACCAGCATGGCCACGTCGGTGGTCTTGCGGTGGGCGCTGCAGAAGCTGACGCCCGAGTCCAGCACCTGGATGAGCGGCTTCCCCACGAAGGCCTCCTGCGCGGCCGAGTGGCAGGCGATGTCGTCGACCGAGTCGGGGTCCAGCTTCAGCTCCCACAGCGCCTCCTGCAGCGCGCACTCGCAGTGCAGCGGGTTGTGCGCCAGGCGCACCTGCGCGCTCAGCTTGCCCAGCGCGTCCTTGGGGATCCTGCGGATGCGGTTGTGGGACAGGTCCAGCAGCCGCAGGCCCCCGGCCAGGCCCGAGAAGGCCGACGGGCCCACGGCCTCGATGGCGTTGCGGGACAGGTCCAGCTCCCGCAGCTGCGGCAGGTGCTGGAAGGCCCCGTTGGGGACGCGGGAGATCTCGTTGCGGTCCAGCTTCAGGAGCACGGCGTCGGCGGGGATGCCGCCCGGGATCTCGCGCAGGCCGCGCGCGCTGCAGTGCACGGCCACGGCGCCCGCGAGCTCGGGGCACTGGCAGGCGGCGGGGCAGGCGGCGCCCAGGCGCAGGCCCAGGAGGAGGAGGAGGCCGGGGCCCCGCGCGGGCGCCGGCGGGGCCCGGGGGCTGCGCGCGCCCCGGGGGCCCATGCTGCCCCGCGCGCCCGGGACGGACGGACGGACGGACGCCCCGCGGCTGCCCCGCCCGCCGAGCCACGCCAGGACGAGCTGCGCCTCGGGTCTAGACAAGACACGGGAGGGAGCAGCGGAGTCGGCGGCGGCCCGGGAGCGGCCGGGACGGGCACGAGGCGCAGACCCCTGGGCCGGCGTCTGGGGCGGGGCGCGGCCTCCTGGAAGCACCTGCCCCGCACCGGCCGGTCCGATCCCGAAACCCCGACCGCGCCCGACCCCGACCCCGCCCCGGCCCAGCCCGGCCCCCCGCAGCCCCTCCCCGACTCCCGCCCCCGCCCCTACAGCCCGGCCCCTGCAGCCCCGCCCCCGCCCCGACAGCCCCGCCCCCGCCCCTGCAGCCCCGCCCCCGCCCCGACAGCCCCGCCCCCGCCCCGCCCCTGCAGCCCCGCCCCCGCCCCTGCAGCCCAGCCCCCGCCCCTGCAGCCCCGCCCCTGCAGCCCCGCCCCTGCAGCCCCGCCCCTGCAGCCCCGCCCCCGCCCCTGCAGCCCCGCCCCAGCAGCCCCGCCCCCGCCCCGCCCCGGCAGCCCCGCCCCCGCAGCCCCGCCCCCGCCCCGGCAGCCCCGCCCCCGCCCCTGCAGCCCCGCCCCCGCCCCTGCAGCCCAGCCCCCGCCCCTGCAGCCCCGCCCCCGCCCCGACAGCCCCGCCCCGGCAGCCCAGCCCCCGCCCCGGCAGCCCCGCCCCCGCCCCGCCCCTGCAGCCCAGCCCCCGCCCCGGCAGCCCCGCCCCCGCCCCGACAGCCCCGCCCCGGCAGCCCCGCCCCGGCAGCCCCGCCCCGGCAGCCCCGCCCCTGCAGCCCCGCCCCTGCAGCCCCGCCCCGACAGCCCCGCCCCTGCCCCGCCCCTGCAGCCCCGCCCCCGCCCCGGCAGCCCCGCACCCTGCAGCCCCGCCCCCGCCCCGGCAGCCCCGCCCCCGCGCCGACAGCCCCGCCCCGGCAGCCCCGCCCCCGCCCCGGCAGCCCCGCCCCGGCAGCCCCGCCCCCGCCCCGGCAGCCCCGCCCCCACCCCGGCAGCCCCGCCCCCGCCCCGGCAGCCCCGCCCCGGCAGCCCCGCCCCCGCCCCCGCCCCGGCCGCCCAGCCCGGGTCCCGCCCCGGCAGCCCCGCCCCGCAGCCCCGCCCCCGCCCCTGCAGCCCCGCCCCAGGCCCGGCAGCCCCGCCCCGGCAGCCCCGCCCCCGCCCCGGCAGCCCCGCCCCCGCCCCGGCCGCCCCGCCCCCGCCCCGGCCGCCCAGCCCGGGTCCCGCCCGGCTCCCCGCGGGCATTCAGGGGGCTCCCGCCGGGTCAGGCCCGGGCCGGGGCGGGACCGGCCCGCGTCTGGGCGGCCGGGGCGGTGGCGTTCGGACACAAAACTGAATAAAGCCGGGATCTGTGCGGAGAAAGGACGGGGAGGGGGAGAAGAGGGGTGCGGGGTGGGGCCGCGCCCGGGCCCGGCGGGGTGCGGGGTGCGGGTGGGGACCGGGCTGGATGCGGGGGGGCGGGGTGGGGCCGTGCCCGGGCCGGGCGGGGTGCGGGGTGCGGGGCGGGGCCGGGCAGGGTCGGGTGCGAGGTGCGGGGTGCGGGTGGGGGCCGTGTCCGGGCCGGGCGGGCGGGGATGTACCTGCGCGGCCGCTCGGCTGCTCGGCGTCGCTGCGGCCTCCACGAGCCAGGCGCCCTCCGGACCCCCGCCCCGCGCAGCGGCCGCCCGGGGCTCTCTCCTGAGGCCCGGGCTGCAAGCCGAGCCCGCCGGGGCCGAGAGGGGCGGGGCCTGGCGGGGCGGAGCCTGGCGGGGTGGGGTTGTGGGCGGGGTCAGGAAGAGGCGGGGCACTGACAGGGGCAGGAGGCGAATCAGAGCGTGGCATGGCTCGAGGGGAGGGGCGTGTGAGGTACTGTAGTCGCGGCAGGGCCAGCCTTGAAGGTGGGCGGGGCTTCGGCCGAATTGCAGCCTTGGGGGCGTGGTCTCCCTGGAAGGCGTGGCTCCTCGGCCTCTGGCTCCGCCTCTTGGCCACACCCCCGACCTAGCTAGTGCAGTCACTGTCACGTCCTTGGTCCAGGCGCTGCCAGCCACGGGAAGGTCCTGAATGGCTGTGAGGTCCCTCTGCATGCGCATGCCCCATCCCGTGCACGCTCTCCCCGGCACAGCTCCCACCCCCCACCCCCCCCCCCCCCGCGCAGTCCCCTGCAGTTCTCCCTGCACAGTTCCCCCCCCCCCGCACAGTCCTCCCACAGTCCCCCCTGCACAGTCCCCCTGCACAGTCCTCCCACAGTCCCCCCACCGCACAGTCCCCCCCCCCGCACAGTCCCCCCAACCCCCCCGCACAGTCCCCCCTGCACAGTCCCCCCCTGCACAGTCCTCCCACAGTCCCCCCTTCACAGTCCCCCTGCACAGTCCTCCCACAGTCCCCCCCCCCGCACAGTCCCCCCCAACCCCCCCTGCACAGTCCCCCCCCGCACAGTCCCCCCAACCCCCCCGCACAGTCCCCCCTGCACAGTCCCCCCCTGCACAGTCCTCCCACAGTCCCCCCTTCACAGTCCCCCTGCACAGTCCTCCCACAGTCCCCCCCCGCACAGTCCCCCCCAACCCCCCCTGCACAGTCCCCCCCCCGCACAGTCACCCCAATCCCCCCCGCACAGTCCCCCCCTGCACAGTCCCCCCCACAGTCCCCCCTGCACAGTCCCCCTGCACAGTCCCCCTGCACAGTCCCCCTGCACAGTCCTCCCACAGTCCCCCCTGCACAGTCCCCCCTGCACAGTCCCCCCTGCACAGTCCTCCCACAGTCCCCCCTGCACAGTCCCCCTGCACAGTCCCCCTGCACA